TGGGGGGCCAGGGGGGCCCCTGCCGTGAGGGTGGGTCCATCACGCTCTGGCCAGTCTAGGACGGGTGGGAGTCGGGACGTGGCTAGCAAGGACTAGCAATGGGCCATCCCGGGGTGGGGGTTCCCAAGTCAATAGAAGTGTTTCCGGCTCTGCTCCTGCCACTTGTTGTAGATGATGATTCCAATGACAATGGCGAAAACGATGGCAACAAGGGAGAAGAAGACGATTAAGAAGAGAGCCAGGCCGCTCATGGGCTCCAGCGGCGCCTCCACTGCGTGAGAAGAGGAAGAAAAACAGCCCGTGAGCCCCCAGAGAACCCAACGCCCCGAAACCCAGCTGAGCTTTGCCTGCACACCCTGCCAGGCTCGCACCACCCCAGGGTTTGGCTTCCCAAAGCTTTTGGGCTCAGCTCATCGTAAAGGCTAGAGCCGTGAGACCTCGGGAGACACAAGGGGCTCACGGCCACGTCTGAGGGGGGATTTCTGGAGGAGAGTTGACATCGTTTTGAGGTTCAAACCTCCATGAGCTTCCAGTGGACCAGCACACCCTGTTTTGGTCATGGCATGACCGAAGCGGAGCAGACATGCTTAGCCCGGGTCCTCCAGGATGGCAGCACTTCTCCGAGGGCGAGCGGTGCCGCCCGCTACGCCCACACCAAACTGAGACGGGCTGTGACACCGGTTGTGCCGCACAGCGGGCGAGAACAACCGTCGGTGGGAAGAACGGGGCACGGCCCTCCCAATTCCAGTTGGAACTCGGCTGATTTGCTGGCGAGATGCCGTCATTTCTGCTCCGCGAGCACCACAGCTCCACCACCCTGCAGCTCCCCCCAAAATTCCTGCCGGTCCCACCTTCCCCTGGCACGAAGCCGGTGGCTCCTACTCACTTCCCGGCAGCTTTAGGTTGTCCACAACCGGTAAATAAACCTCTCTGTCTCGCTTCTCCTCCTCCGGCGTCCGTTCCACCGTCAGCTGGTAAAGCTTCAGCGAAATGATGTCGTGGTTGTCTGGAAGCAGAGCAGAAACGTGTCCCGAGACATCACCGATAAATATGGCTCTGGCCAAGGGATTCGAGTGCCGCAGGCAGCATCACGGGGTGTTATCACTTGGGGCAAAAGCGTTGGCTCTCCCTTCCCAAGGGGAGGGAAAAACTCACCTCCGCCGGGCAGGGTCTACGCCGGGCTGAGAGCTGTGCCCCGGCGCAGGGCCCTCCGCCAACAGGAACCTTTTAAGCTACTTAAATTGAAAAACAAAAGCCCAGACCGGGAGATCATCTGACTCGAAACCACTCGGCCACCCGAAGGGAACGCGTTAGCATCGGCCTCACGTGGCCCTACTTCCTTCGCTCGTGACGGCGGAGTTATTAGCGGGACAAGGCGAGCGCTCCACGCCAGCCTGCCAGCTCCCCCCGACGCTGGGCAGAGATCTGAGAGAGAAAAGGAACTTTTGTTGGAAACCAACAATGGGCCCAGACACCGGCCATCAATGAGCTTTTGTAGAGGCAGAACTCAAATCGGGCTTAAAACCTGCCGAAAAGAGGCACGGCGGGGGAACGGCAGGCTTCAATGCCCCTCGAGCGGCGCCGGGAGAGAAGTATTACGCTGAGGAAGGCGGAGGGTTTTAGCTTTAGCTCTCGGCAAAACCCGACGTGCATCGGCCCACGTCGCGCTATCGTTTCCAAGAGCAGCCGGCCGGTCCCTCCCGCGATAACGGGCGGGCGATAGCTGTCAGGCTACGAAATCCCAAGCGAAATACACCCAGGCATGCCCCGGAGATGGAGTCGGGAGATCAGGAGCGAGCGTGGTGGCTTGGCTGTAACGACCGGGGCGCCCGCAGCCACGGCGGCTCTTTCCAGCACCGCCCTCGGGGCTAACCCAGGCACCACGGGTTGCAGCGGGAGAGTACAGGAGGAGATTTATTTTTTGTTTCAGTGCTCGTCCTGTTTTTACTCCTCCCAAGGCACGTGTTTTGGAGACAGGCCCTCCGGCTGAGCCGGTACAGCCGCTTCGCCACCATGTCGTTAGGAGAGGCTGGCTGAGATCCCGCTGGGAGCTCAAGAAAAGTGGGAAGCGCCGCCTAGACAAAGCTCTCGGGGGAGCAACGTGCCCAGACGGGGCTTTGGGCTCCTCAGGAGTTGCTGCAAGATAAAAACCGAAGCTCCCACTCACAGCTAAAAGGTGCTTAAAGCATGGAAAGATCCTCCTGTGCTTCTGTAAGCCCCACCAAGTACTGAGCTGCACCTCCAGACACCCAAAGCGGCGCAGGAGCTGCCGGAGCTGCTCAGGAAATAAGGTTGGGGACCCCGGGGCAGTACCTGACAGGTCTCCGGTGACAGAAGAGGTCCCAAAGTAGTACCCACGGGGCAAGCGTACGCCCGGCACGTCGATGCAGTCTCTCCACTCGTGCTTACCATCAATATCGATCAACACCTGAGGAAGAAGAAGGTCCCTTAGCATCGCCGTGGCCCCGCTGCCCGCTCAGCCCCGGCGGGCAACACTCACCGTCAGTCTCCTCTTCACGTAGCGGATCACCAGGAAGGTGTCATGGTTGAGGTTGCGCACCATGGCCGTGCAGCCCCCGAGCTCCGTCGGTCTCCCGTCCCGGTCGTGGTCATAGGTGAGAGAACCGTTGTTCACCATGGCCGAGATGTAGGGGAAGACGCGCTGCGAGAGGGAAAAGATTGAGGGTGAGTTTCTGCTCTCCCCCCCCCGGCCACAGCTCGGCTCTACCGGCTGCCCCGAGCATCCCGGCACACCTCTGGGGTCAAGAGCCACGACAGCCCTGCAGACCCCAAACTCCTTCACCCTCCAAGAATCCGTCTCAGCAAGATAACGGCACGATCCCACTTCATCCCCCAGCCTTCCTCGGGCTCAGCCTCAGCTCCCAGGCACCCGGGATGGAGGACAGCCCGTTTCCATGCAGTCTCTCAGCTCACATGGGGATTTCTGGGCTCACGCAGGGATTTTTTTATTTTTTGGAGCTCGGAGGAGGGAATTCCTCAACCCTGAGCCAAGGTGAAACCCGACAGCTTGGGAACGGGTAGGTCAGCGAGAGCAAGTACCTGATTTCCCGGGCTGTACCTCCTCTTCTGAGCCTGCCAGTCCGGGGTTATCGCAAAACAAGAGAGAGCACAGAAGCAAGACAGTCACAGACCAGAGTTAGTATTAACCTGCAACCTGGAAACTCCCTCCCTGGAGAGCTCAGCGCGTTATCAGCTTAGCGGAGACTAAAGCAGAGAGGGGTTTAGGTGTTAGGTGCTGGATCCCGGGACGCACGGCTCAGAAACGGCACCGGTGGGCGAAAGCCACATCAAACGTACGGCATTTCTCCTCCTCGCCGCGCAGCAGCTCATTCGCACAAAAGCCAGCGCCCCAACTGGGGGGGGGGACATCGGCCACAGCCGTTCCCCAGGGACCCACGACTAATCTGTCCCTCTTCCCTCCAGAATAAGACCCTTCTTTTTGTCCTTTTAAACAACAGAAAACAACAGTGAACCCACACGCCATTACAGCAACTGGCCGATGAGCATTTCTCCATCTCCTTCCTCGGTGCTTGACCGGAGGAGGGCAGCCCTCTCCGGTTGCCGACCGAGCTGGGAACCTGGACAGCCGCATTCCACCGATGATTTCTTTGAAATAAAACCTGTTGTGCATCCCTTTACCCCACAAAAGCAGAGCTGCCACCCTGCAAATCAACATCCCTCCATCCGACACCACCCTAATCCCCAAGCGCTACCGGTAACGCGGTGCCAGGCAGTTCGTAAAGGCTTTTTACGAGCACAAAGTCCACCCCTGCGCCAGAGCCGGCTGCTTTGGATGTTTGAATAAAAGCTGGTAGTTACTCAACGTTTGCTGGGTAGCTCCAAGGTCAGGGCGCATCCCAACTGCGCCCTTTTGTCTCTTTTCCCGGGATAAAGGGGGTCCTGCGGGGTGGTGGCGTTAATGCCAAGGATCTTGGGGTAAAACAGCACCTATTTTTTTTAGGGAAAGTTAGAATAAGAAAGGGTCCAGCTTTGTTTTCGGAGTGATGAAACCGATTCCAGCATCAGGGTGGGAAGGGCCTGGTTTTAACTGCCTCTACACTCCCGTCTCCACAGGAACGGACGCCAATAAACCCCAAACAAAGAACAGACGCATCAGGAACACAAAGGTCTTTAGACGGGCATCTTTCAAAGAGGCAAAGCGCGGTGACGCTGCGTCCCCGAGAGCAGGGAAAGCCTCCTGCCATAAAACCAGCCCCGTCCCGCAGGCAGGCCTGGGCTGGCAGCTCAGGTACCGCTCTACTCGAGGTTCAAAAAGACCACGTTTTTGGTACGGCTCCACCTCAAGCGCTACTTGCCAGCAGCCTCAAGAAAGGACAGGAGCTCCCAATGCAGAGGTGGTGTCACCAGCTGGTTTTCTCCTGCCCCGAAAGCCTTTTCTCTGGGTAAAGCTCACCACACAACCACCCCGCAGCCTTTCACCTCTCTGAGGAGTTATTGCCTCCCTTGGAGGAAAAACCAACTACAGAGAGCACGGCGGGGAACGGCAGCAGAAAGGAAGCAGGGTAATATCTGGTCTCTGATTTAAGAGCTCAAAGAAGATCGCGTCGCACCGACCAAGAGCTGCGTTTGCGGCGACACGAGCTGTGAATTCGGCGCTGCCCGTGCCACGGTCAGCAGGCAGCTGGCAAGCAGCACGGTCCCGTTTATCCTCTCTAGCTCACCTCCTGCTGCTTCTCCTCGTTCGGGTAGGTGTCCACAAACACTCCCAAGCCCAGGAAGTTATCCTTGCTTCCAAAGACAGGTCCTAGGAAGAAGGAGAAGCTACCGATAAGGGTGGCAAGACCAGGCAGGAATTGCAAAGGGTTTGTTACCCATCCCTTCACATGTGCTCTGTATCAGGTAACAAGGCAGCCTTGAGCACTTAATCGAGTACACAGACCCTCCAGGCAGGGAATTCAAATTAAATCCCCCACCTCTTGCTGGTCGAGGATCAAGCTCTCTCCAGTCTGTTTTTGAAGGAGCTGACTCTCAGTGTGGGACGCCCCACACGTCTCCTTACACCGCCCATCTCAAGATCAGGGCAAAACAATCCCAAATCCACCTACCCCTGAGCCGACTCCACCTTCCCAGGGCCCCCGTGAGCCCCAGCCCAGGGTGCCGAGGCTCAGGGGCAGCCTCACACACGCTCTTCGGTTGCCAGAGCAGAAGAAAAACACCTCTAAGGTCCCAAAACACCGCGATTCCCCACTGAGATTTCCCCCAATGAGCCTACACACCGGGGAGAAGGTGTCCTCGGAGAAGATGGCACGTGCCGCCCGACACCTTCCCCTCGAGGCACGACCTCCACCCCACACCTTCCCCTCGAGGCACGACCTACACCCCACACCTTCCCCTCGAGGCACGACCTCCACCCCGGCAGCTACCGCCGGCGCTTTACCTGGCTGCATCCGATCTTTGGTGTACCAGATGGCAAAGCCGTCTCCGTTCAGGTTTTTCTTGCCTTGCCCGTGGATTTTGAAATGCACCTGCATCTCCCAGTCTCGGAGGTAACACGGCTGCAAGAGAAGGAACGAGGAGGTGAAATTAGGGTGTCCCTCATGCCACCACCTGCCTCTTCCCTGCCCGCGAGGGTGAGGGGCCGGCGGGGACGGACCACCGCAGCCGGCTGCGCTCTTCTCTGCCCGTCGCTCCGCGCGCCACCAAACCGGAGAGCACACCGCCATTTCCCTTGCCACCAGACCGTGCTGTCCTATATTTTGGATGCGAGCAAGAATAATTAATCCCAAGGGATCTCATTAAGCCGAGGGAATTGGTCATTACCCAGAGCTATAAAAAGCCAAAGAACCGATTCTGATCTCACGCTATTCTGAGGCAACAGCAACTCCAGCAAAATCAATAACTCACACCCGGGAAAAAGAGAGCAGAAAGAGCCCAACGAGCAGCTCCAGCTTCTTAATTGTTGATAAGCCAATTTATTTCTTGAGCTAGCAACAAATTCCCTGCGCTAACGGGCACACAAGGCGACGAGCTCGCAACAGATTTGCTCAGGCGATAGATACCGTGAAGCCGGCCGGTGGCTTCGTGCGGGAGCCACAACATTTCGCGAGAGCCGTAAACCCAAGCGAAAAACCAAATCTCCCTCAATATAACGCTAAAAGTTGAGGGTGACGGACGGCTTCTGGTTTCGTAGAGCATTTTCCAAACCACTGTGGAGGGGGCTGGACCCTGGGGCACAAAAAAATCCCACCGGTTTCAAGCCCAAATTGAAATTAAACCGGAATTTTCAAGGTATTAAAAGGAGCTTTGCTGTCTGCCGGGCAAAAGGCTCAGGAAGGGCAGCGAAACACCTTAACAGAGCGCAGCGCCGGCACACCACGTTGAGCTGTCACTTTACCGGCCCCGTTCCGACACGTGGGCACGGCAAAGGGGGCAGTGGGTGTGCTCCGGCCACGGTGGTCCCAAAAAAGACCCCAAACTGGTCAGCACAGACACCCCAAATTCACCCAGG